GTGTGTGTGTGTGTGTGTGTGTGTGTGTGTGTGTGTGTGTTTTAGACAAGCCGGTGGTGTCTGTCAGTGTGGAGCTCGTGCCGTGCACTCAGGTCTCCATGGAGCTGTTTGATCCCATCTACTCTTGTGGCATCCTGTGGCCTTGTGGGCGTGTAGTGAAATGCCTTCACGATGTTATCCCAGACTGTGATAAACTCAGAGAGGTGAGCCTCTCCCGTTGATCTATCCACCTGTTTAGAGTCAATTCAAGACTTGGTTGCCTCTTCAGATGTTACAGGATGAGGAGTCTGAGCACTACTACGCAGTTGGGAGAGCGGGGCGAGAGGAGTTTCTGTTTCACCTCTTCAAGCACCTGYGCCTCGGAGGAGAGCTCTGTCAGTATGAGGACACCATTGATCCCTACATCAGCACCACAAARAGGATGTACAAAGACCTGATCAGGTCAGCACAACCTGGCTGTCTGTAATTTATATACATGCCTACATCTTCACACTCAMGAGTCAGAAAATCTTTTTTCATAGTGTGCAGAAGGACCCCGACACAAAGAAGATAAGTGTTGTTTCCACTGTGCTCAAAGTGTGTGCCTATGTGAGTGAGTCTCAATATATGACATGCATGTTCTTCTAAAGAAATATATTATTGGAGCATCACTGCAGCTAAATTTGAGAAAACAGTTTAAGGCAGCAGATCATATTAATGTGAAGCTGTTTTTTTTGTGTGTGTGTGTGTGTGTCCGTCCCCCCATCTTGTTAGCTAATCCTGTGAGATACTTATAAAACTGCAGATATATTATCTCAGGAAAATTATAGGATTTAAATGAAAAAAATTGGTTTTGAATTACATTTTCTAAAATTTCCCAACCTTACAGAAACACATTTGTCATGCAAGTAAGCATTTTCACACATTATTTGAACCCTGTGTGTTTTTGTCATCTGTAGGACGAGTCTGGCCGGTGTTTCCCTGGGATTCGAGAGGAGGAGCAGACGTTTGCCTATTTGATTATTGACCCTTTAAAACATCAAGTGACCTTGTTCTTCCACGTCCACGGTGTGGGAGACTTCAACCTGTGACCGTAAAAAAAGAAGGAAAACATTGTTTTATGTTTTTGCTGAAACTTAGAGGAGTAATTCACTTTAACGTTGAAAAAAATGTAAGGTCTGTTATTGTGATAATACTGAGAATAAAGAAGACACCAAAAGCAGCATCATACAGTCCAAAGAGCTTTATTGAAACAAATAAATTATTAAGTTAGTGATCTAACTTCATCCTCAGCAGAAACACATTTTTTGTACCTTTTTCAAAAGATCAAATATAGATTAGAAAAACAAACCAGCGGCACGTTTTATTCAGCCAACTGCTTCATCAATTGGACTTGGAAGACTTAGTGTAGCTGTTGGCTTATTGCTTGACCGGTTCGTGCTTCAGTTTGAACAGCAGCTCCAACAACCTACGGTCAGAAAGCAGCTACAGAGCGGTGAGGTGGAATGTCAGATGGCAGCAAGTCAGTGAGAGGTGGACGGATGGTTGAGAGATGTCACGAAGAGATCAGAGAACGTGCAGATTGATTTCATGCATAGCATTCAGTCGTTTTCAACTGTTTCACCTAATCGGGTTTCCTAAACTAGCGCCCCCTAGTGGCCTCAGAGGTAGTTGTGTGGAAGCCATACTGATCTATGTAACATGCCTATGAGAGGACACATGCCTGGCGGAGTTTCCTGCGACGCCCCCCGGCCTCCACATCTGATGGTTACGGTGCTGCATGAGGATGTGAGGAGGTCCTGGTAGAGGTACAGTGATATGCTGGACATACAGTGACTCTCAACCTTTTACAGCAGCTGTGGAACAATCCTCAAAGTCTTTCATCAATTAAAGGTTTTTGCAAAAACAAAAAGATTTGTATGAATTTCCACGAAAGACTTCTCTCACGAGCACGTTTCTAACGTTGGCGGTAGAAAGCCGCGCCACTTCCTGGACAGAATGAGGGCAAAGAAGGCACAGGTTATTCGCTTTCATGTTCTTACAATTTTACACAAGAAATCCTTATGTTTTGTTTTTTTGTTCTAAATCTGTGGCCACCACGAAACAACATGCAATACAGTGAYGTCGTTACTTATGAAGCTCTACATTCTAGGTGGCATTGAAAGAACAGCATTCTACCGATGCCTCTAATAATCGGGCATCTTAGCTATAATTCAGCTCAGAGGAATAAAGCTACYAAACATTTCCCCCAATGAAATGAATGCAAAACGTGTACAATGCAGCGAGCTCTGAATGGCATTTTACTCCTAACCGCCAGACTGAGCGATGAAGTACATTCACTGGTTAAAAAGCTCACTTCAAATGGAAAAAGTGGAGCACCTGAGTCAGCTGATGTGACTGGGGGAGGGTAGATGTTGACGTCGTACGCAGACAGTAAAAACGTACATTTGCCAAAACCTGATTGGCTGATTAGCARTTTTGCTATCCGTGATTTAATGCCACATTTACATACAAATCAGGTTMGACTGAATTATATGTTTAAATACATTTTTTACGCTCACTTTATCAACTAAAATCAAAACTACTTTTTCTTGACAGGGTACATAAGATCAAGTGCATGAAAACAAATACAGTAGAGAACACAAAAGACAAACTAAATTAAGCACAACAACAAAAAGTTGTATATTTATCAAGTGCCAAAGTACTTAAGAATCGCTTTCAGTCTTCATATGTGTGCATTTGATCACCCTCTGTTTTTTATGGGGCAAACATCCCTAAGAGAGTAAAATCAGGAACACCTGTAAGTGTCTCAACGACACGCGCATCGACGAGGAGAACGCTCTGGAATTCATGCATTACAGGGCTGGATYCCTTCCGCACTGTTCATTGTTTCAGATCGCGCCAAATTGGCCGAAAAAGTCTCTGCAAAGTGCACGTGACATCCGATAAGAGAAGGAGGAAAGGGGGAGAGATGGTGAAGTATTACAGACATCCTGAACCAGCTGATGTGGCACACCTGACCTGAGGAGAGATGCTAAGTGAGGAGAAGCAGTGCAGAAAGGGTCACAAAAAGAAGGTGAGACCTGAGCATTATGAGCCCAAAGGGAAGGGGGAAGGAGTGCAGGCTGCAAGACAAGGAAGCTTAAAGGTTTTTGTCAAAAATGCACATTTAGGCTTTTAAAACGCTCAGAGTTTGCACAGCAGCCTTGGAAAAGCTGCAAAACGTGGATTTAGGACTTGCGATTGAGCACTGTTTAACTAAATCTTAAATAATTAGGAACATTTCAGACTTGAAATTAATTGGGAGCAATGTGTTTGTTTTGCTTTTCATTGTTGTTCTTGTTTTTTGCCGGCGGGCTTGTTCAAGACCAAACTTCTTGAAAAGTTACCCCAACATATTGTAGCAGGTTTTTTTAGGAGCATTTAAAGTGGACCTCGTCCGAGTGGCATTGTACTGCAGATGGCTTCATCAGTGTTTATAAGTTTACATTCAAGGCATTAAAGACTGCGCTGTCTTTCCAAAATATTTGCATCAAAGTCCTGAACAAACTGGTATATCTGCCTTGTGCAGATACATCTAAGCAGCCAAACAAAACAATGGCGTTGGAGAAGAAAGATAATRTTCCTTGGAAGATCTCCTTGAACAGGTTTGAAAGTAGGGTCTCTACAGCATAAAGTGAGTGGCTGCGAGGGGTTCAGTAGTCTTTGTTCACTTTCTCTGTTCTCATCCAGAGAGTTGAGAGGCGTGTGCGGTGAGCAGCTTTTGGCTGAGGCTCCTCTTCGGCTGGAGCCCTCTGGTGGCCGCTATCTTACCAGCTCCAGAAACAATCGCTCCAGGACAACAAGGCTGAGGATGCGGATGGGAGGAGGGGGAGGAGCACTCGGAGAAGGTAGATGTAAAATATGTTTGTCTGCTCAGGGAGCGAGAGACGCTCGGCCTAAAGGACAGTCTGTAAAGGATCTGCCATTGCTCACTGTCATTCCAAGTTATCGCCCTCAAACCGTGAGATGTTGAGTGTGTTCGCAGAGGGGAAGAGGTCCTTTTGGTCCGTGGGGCTGTTGTAGTCMGAAGTCAGGTCGGGGTCCAGGAGGGAGGACAGGGTGGCGTGTGAAGAGCCTTTCTTTAAGCACTGGGAGTAGAAGTTGAGCATGAGGTCCAGCTTGCTTTCTATGGACTGTACCTATTAACACACAAACACTGCGCTGTGAGATCTGTGACAAAATGTAACCCCGGCAGCTCCAAGTCTTCTTACCTGTTTCTCCACTTTGACTACACGCCCCATCATGCTCAACTCATCCAGCGGGTCCAATTCTGGYGGTGTTTTTTCTCCCTTTTCAGGGCGCACTTTTTTATCAGGCTGAACGGCTCCTCGACCAATAATCTGATCCACCCTTTTTAAACAAACAAAGCAAGGTTTAGTGGATATAATGAAACACATCATGGTGTAGTTTGTGGATTCTTCTCTTCCGTTTGTCATTTTTGTGCTGCAAAACCTACTGTAACCTGTCTGTAGTTTTAAGTTTGCTGTCTACATCATTTAATTTATTTCCATTAAACTTTTACACAACATAATGCAGTCAAATACTGATCAGCAGCCTCACAATCCTACCCTGCTGAGCAGGCAGCTKTTTCCTTATTGGAAAAGGGTCAAAGAAATGTAAGCTGAAAACATTAGAAGTGAAAAGTTCAACTTTATTGCTTTTGGTTTTACTCTCAGCAGTGATATAGTCAAACAAAAAAGAAAAGAAAAGTGTTACAGTTATGGTCTTTAAAACCTTGAAGTCTAGATTTGAAAGCAGCAGATCAATGGTTTTTAAATGCGGGGAACCCACCTCATCTGTAAGCTCTTGATGCGGCCCAGCATATCCAGGTGTCCTGCTGAATACTGCTCTATGACATCCTTCACGTCGTACGGACGCAGCGTYTCCTTGAACTTCCTCTTGGCCACGAGGAACTTCAGGATCCTGCGAAACACAACACTGTTATCGCTCATGTGAAAAGGCCTGAAAGCGCACGCCGACGCGTACGGAAGCCCTGTAAACCTTTGGAAAAATGCAAGAGAAGGAAGATATCAAACAATTCAGCCCCACCGTGTGAATAACAAGATTAATTAAAGCCGGTGTGACCTTATCATTCACAAACAGGCCCATAAAGGCAGCAGTCAGAAACCTACTAAACTGCACAGATATATTGGGAGAACGAGAGCGTCTCTCGCAGACATTTCCTTATCGGTATTTGCTGTTTCAGCAATTAGCACATTTCCGCAGATAGGGGAACGCACACCTCTATTCTGTCCTCCGTTTCTGCTCTTTTGTCATTGTGACAGCTCTGTTGGACCACAGCTGCTCCTGCTCCCCAGAGCACATAGCTCATAACCACCACCCACACCCTAACCGGTGTGGGGGAGTCACACCGAGGATTGTTAACCCAACACCAGCGTACCAGGTGGACATATCCCTGACAACATCCTCCGCCAGAGAGACTGTAGGATAACGGCACGCTGGAGGGAGTAAAAGGACGTGTAAGAATAAAGCAGAGGAAAGGTGAAGAATGGAGTCGATACCTCACCTGACCAGAAAAATAAACTAGAGTATAAGTCCACTGGAGCTGTAAATTCTCCCTGCACTGAGCTATCAGAGAGTTCAAAATATTCAGAGAAAGGTATTGGAAGCCTTAGAATAATAAAAAAAAAAATATTGTGTATTTTTTTGCTTGTCCATGATACAACAATGTAACATCAGTTTGTTTCTGTGCGTTCCGCTTTGAGAACCAGAAAAATCTGCAGAATTTGCCGAATTTAAAAACGCCCAGAACGGTTAAACAACATAGAGCAGAAGTTCAGGCAGACGTTTCCATCAACAAATCAGGTTTGGGGTCGTGGCCAGCGGACTCGTTTTCTTTCTCGCCACTCTTTAGGCTGGTCCAGCAGGCCCTGTACAGCTGACTTACGTAGGAGGCGTAGCTCCTGCTGATTTGTGGATATGACACAGTTGTGGAATTGTTACATCGGTGCTCTTTTTAACATGACTGCACAATAAAAAAAAAACGGACTTTGCTCAAAAAGGATGGCCAGGACCTGAACACCCTGGTTGCTGTTTGCTGGTAACGATGCTCACTGGAGTGGAACTGGGACTAACTGTTTAATGAAAACTGGTGAGTCAAAGTTTTTTCTTTATTTTTTACAATTTTTTTTGTTTTGTTGGCTGCATAAAGTGAAGTTTTACTACAATGTTGCCTATTTTATTGAACTAGGTTGTTCTTACTTTGTTACCATACTTGTTGATTACTTGAAGGTTTATCTTCAAATTGTTACGCATGCATTARTTCATGCATTTTGCTTTAGTCGAGAAACTATAACTGGTCTTTTTAGATGTAATCATGTTGTAAGCYATCTGTATAAAGATGTCAGTAGGCTGTATGATTGTGCTGTGGGTTTGGTGCAAATAAGGATSTAACAATAAATCAAGAATCAAATAATAATCAACTTTACCTGCTTAAAATGTAAATCAAGTCAGAAAAATGTATGAATCGATTTTATTGTTAATGTAAAACTTTAAGTTATGTATTTAAGAGAAATTCAGTTTGAGAACTTTTGGTCACAAAAGGATTTGCGACGACACTTTTACTTGTTTTGAAGTTATATTCTGGTACTAAGACGACAGACAGTTTGATACAAAGACAAAAACACTGATGTTAGAAGAAAAGAAAAATTCATTTAGTAAAAAAATACAAGGAAATAATTGTAATTGTGAACTTAAAATCAATAATCRATTCAGGGTTTGAGTGAATCGTTACATCACAATCATCCAGTAGTGAATGTAGCTTTAGTTAAAGCCTAGAAATCCATAATGTTGTTTTCTGTATAAACTGTATGGGGGAGGGTAAAGAAGGCCCAGCTGAGGTAATTCTCTGTCACTGTTSGAGTGATGTCAGATCATTTAGAAAACGAGGACAACTTGTGAGAAGKGGGGGTCCTCTTCTGAAATAACCRGTCCGAACCTTTGCAGGACGTGCACTGAAAGGAGGCTCATACCAGGACAAGGTGGAGGCGAAGGAGAAGAGGAGGARTAAGTCCACAGCTGGTGTCGTAGCAGCCGTCAGCGCACTCCTCCTCCTCCTCACGCGGCACTCTGCTTCTTGATGACTTCTGCATTTGGAGTATTTTTTGCAAGCAGTCTTTTCTTAATTTGCAGGTGGGCGCAGATTTTTTTTTGCCAGGGTGGGTCTCAGGTGTGGGTTAAGGAAAAGGTTGAAAGAGGGGAGTATCCTCCAAGGGTTTCTTCAGATTGCTGACTCTCCCCTTCCTGGTCACTAAAATGGCTTTAATAACACAGAGTCAGGTTTCAGCAGCCCCCYCTGCACCTCTTTCTAGACAATTTCCAGTCACTGTGCAGCACAGTTGGCACGGCTAACTAAAAGATATCATAGCGTCTCAATGCTAGGAAGTTGAGATGTAAAAAACCCAGTGACGACTGGAGGGAGAGGAAATGTCAGTGGTGCCCCCAAAATGCTTGCAAAGCCAATGCAAACATTTTTGCAATTCAGCAAAGGTGGATCCCAGATAGTCTCCAATGGCAGGTTTTATCTGGGAATTAAAAATGACTGTACTGCTGACATGAAGCCAAGGTGGGCCAAGAAGGATGAGCCACTGCTGGGACGTGTCTGATTCCTTCTAGATATAACTCTGTGCCTGCTAAGTGGAAAATATCCAACCCACAAGCTAAAGTTTATGGATGTAAAGCAAGAAAATAGAAAGGAATTGAAATATCACAGCTGAAAGCTACAAAAACACATACTTGTAATCAGACGACTATAAAAGGAAAGCACATCTAGACAATTTATTTAATAAAGTAGGCACTTCATCAAAGACTGCAAGTTTGCAAAAATTTAGTTGTGCAGTATCCAATTTTTTTTTACAGTGGCAGTGAACACAGGCTTTGTTTTATTCTCTTTCCTCCGTACGTAAACACAACCCGGTCCACATTTATTCAGGCACCCAGACACTGATAAACCACATGCATCTAAAGTGAAGCCTCAGCACTAAAGCCTTTCTGTGCTTCCCTGACATCGATCATGAGCCGTGCTGGAGAGCCGCGCGCACACACGTGTGTGTGTTAACACAGTGAAAACACCTGCTGTTTACACACCTGCACTATCTATAGGAACTCCCTCCCTTCCTATTGTTYGCGGCGCAGAGCAGCTGAGGTCAGAGCTATCTGCTGAGTCAAGCGCAAACCTGAGAAGACAGTATAATGTCCTGTCAGTGGCACCGAACTGTCACAGAAATATATCATGGCACATCCCTGYGATAAGTGTGCAGTGTGTTTATTATAAATGGTAACACACCACTGTTTTCAGCCAAATCATCTAAAATCTAAATATATGAAATCTTAAAAACTCCTCTGAGACTCCTGATTACTCTACAAACCATTTCATTATTTTTCCTTGACAACATTATTAATTCTTAATGTGTATGCATAAGACAGCTTCTGACGAGACCGTCGTATATACTGAGCGCCGCAGACAGAGTCACGCTACCTTGAGCAATGCTGCACACCTCCAGTGCTGACATCGGGGACCAGGAAACAGAGGCATTATAAACTGCTTTCATCAAACCCCTCAGGAGTCCAACACCAGATGTTTGCTAGCAAATGTAGTTTTTTTTCTGCCACCATCAGTGAAAAACTCCAGTTATTCTGTGTGTGCATACAGTAAGTGGATGCATGTTGTGTAGATGAGGATAGGCTGCTTTTGAACCC